GCAAGAAAAGAAAAATAGAATTATAGCTTGGAGTGTTTTTGTGTGTAATGAGTAATACAGCAAAGAATTTCTGCTAAGTACTAACCTAAATATTAAGGAATGATATGGACATGGGCGAAGATTAATATTATAAGATGGCATTTGTTTCAAAAGGTCAATAAAGGCACAAAACAACATTTTGGGGTATAAAATAGTATATACATGCACACATTTTTACTACTCACTCAAGATCAATTCATGCAAGTAACTCTTCCCCAGAGTATCCTAGAGTTTATCTTCTCTACTCATTCATTCATTGGATCAATATTGATGAGCACACCCACAACCAGGTACTATCAAGAATATCACACAGAGGGTGCTAGATGGTGGTGAAGTGGCAAAACACAGTGGTCTGTGAGACAATCCACATAGGAAAGTTACCAGTTCAAGTCTGGAGACCTCTCTGAGTATGCCAGGTACATGCCCACCCATGATCCAGTTTGAGCTGATTGCTGCAGTGGATTACAGTGTCAGAACCCCAATAAGGGTGCTGTCTGTATGTCTCTGTCAATCTCTCTCTCTCTCTCATGAAAAAATAAATAAAAGTAAACTATTACTTAAAAAATAAATAACCTACTGAAAAGGCAATTTACAATTTGTTTTTTCTTTGTCTATTAAAATCTCACTTTTTAGTGAGTTTTAAGTCACCAGGTCCAGGACTTGAATCATGGTTGGCCATGTAGGAATCCAGAACATAACCATTATGCCATCTGCTGGCCTGGAATACCTATTTTCAAAGGAAGTTACATTTGGGAGAACAGCCTTCTATTTATAACTATCCTTGTCCTTGTGTCACTGGGCCTATCACTTCTGAACATCTTTGAGCTTTTGTTGCAAAGGGGTTAGATAAAGTGACTTCTTTCTTTCCAAGCCCTGGCCTTCATCTCCAGCCTCTGCCTCTTCCTCTAACTAGGTGAAAATGGCAGGGCTCCAAAAGATTTTCTCTACGTACTTTCCAAAGTATTGGAAGGTTTCACCAGGAAGAAAAACTGTGTATGCAAAAGATAAAATATTTCAGTAAAGGCTGATTAAGATTTTTTAAAAGTTGTCCTTGGGCCAGCTGGTGGTGTGGTGGTTAAGGTACCTGGAATCTGCAGAGCTGACTAAGTGATTCAGGTCCCAGACCTGGTGACCTGAAAAACACGACAGGTGTGTCTGGATGCATGCCCAAAATCCTGAGAAGACAATGGAGAAGAAGGGGTAAGAAGGGGTTGTGGTATGCCACACCCTTTAGGGATTGATATCTCTCTCTCTCTCTCTCTCTGTCAAGTACACATGCCTTGTAGTCAACTGGAAAAAAAACCCTCATTTTCTATTTTTATAGTATTAAATGTAAGTGGCATTTTGAAGCCCAGTCCACCTGCTGACAGGAAACTCTAGGAGCTGTCCATCTCTCAGCTTTGACATGACCTTCACGTCCATCCTCTGAGATGGAAAATTGCCTCATTTATAGTCATGATGGTGATGGGTGCTCAGTGGCATGTTTGTCAGTTAGTTTTGTTGCCCTTGCCACAGCCATCTTCTGAGTCTTCCAGGATCTTCTTATTGATATTGCCCCAAAGAGACACCTACATCTGACTTTTGGCTCATTTACTGCCACACTCTTAAGGTTACATTCACTCTCTCACACCTACACTTCTCTAAGAGAATGGAAGACTCATCAGGTTCTCATTTCCTAAACACCCAGGGGGTGATACTCTATTGTCTCATGTCACTGTGACCAAAAGTGAGACTTGTCACCATCCCAAATATCCCAACGGAAAGAGGACCCACGGATCTCTGTACCTAAGAAGATATCTGTCAATCATCTTTCCTGTGACAACGGGAAGAGTGGAAAGATTGGTGGAGCACTCGGGGCCTCACAGCAACATCTGGCATTTCTTGTTCTCCTCTAACTCTTTCCTTCTTCTTCTTTACAGAAGTTCTTTTCTTGTCTGGAGTGTGAAGAGAATTTCACACTTACCAAGCATTTATGGTAAATCTTCTGTCATCCATCAACAGGAGAACTTATTATTTTTTAATTTGTGATAGAGCATATATACACACATGAGGAAAAGAGAAAGAGAGAAATGAGCATCCTCCACAGGGTCTGGCCATGCCATGATCCTCTTCCTCCAGTTTGTCAGTCTTGGGCACTCACGTAGGTACCCAGTGTGTTTGAGGTTGATCCAACCAAGGATTTGAACTGTAGGGAACATATGGGATCCAACTTCTATTGAGCAGTGCATTACCACGGAGCTAGCCCAAGAGAGCAACTGTTTAAACTTTAAGAGCCAAGAATCTTGAGAGTGTCAGTTAGGACCCTCACTGTGTGTGTTTTGAGAATGTCTCTGTTAATATCACTCACATCTTACTGTCACTCAAACTGTCCTCTATGCTTTGCTATTTTCCTTGCTTTCCCTTGCTTTTTAAAAGTGACTGATAACTATTGGATATATTTAGACCAATTAAGTTCACTGACAGATCATTTGGGGAGGGGGGAGGCACGGAGGGCAACCGTGGATGCCAGGGACAATGTGGGAGGAGGATGGGTCATGGCAGAAGGAGGGGGATGGGGAATCTGGGATGGCAAGACAAAGGGCGGGGTATGCAGGACACAAGAATTGGGAAATTATTTGCTGAGAACATATATGTTGACGTGCTTGATTGAGCCAATGCACAGTGTATTTTGGATGGAAGGTTCATTTGTGTGTTGTGATGGGAAAAAAAATTATAATAAAAAATAAACTATAAAAAAACAAAAGTGACTGAGAAGGGCCAGCAGGTGGTGTAGTGGTTAAGGTGCTAACTCTCACATGGCCAACCAAGGTTCGCGTCCCAGACCTCGTGGCTTAGAACTCACACCGGGTACATGAGTGTGTGTGTGTGTGTGCCCAAAATCCCAGGATGGGAATGGAGGAGAAAGCACTGTGGCATGGCCAATCTCACTGGGGACTGATTTGTCTCTTTCTCTCTTACTGTCTCTCACTAGCAGGTACATGTACCCTGTGTCTAAAACCTTGGGGGAAAAAAAAGTGACAGGTAAAATGTTTGAATACTTCGTGTCAAACCACTGGCTTTCCAGATTTTTTTGGAGTCATTTTTTAGTTTACTTTTCTTTAAATTAAGGTTTAATAGCTTTAACTGTCACTCTAACAAAATTGAGGGAAGAATTATGGATTTACAATCAATATTTATTATTTATACATTCATGGAGATTGTGTCTCTGGGCATGAATCCTATAATCTGAGAGAATCTGGATCTTATAGTGAGTTCATTCCCCTAAAGTGAATTGAGTCAAACTTATTTTTTAAATAACTTTCAAAAATCCTTAACAAAACTCAGGATAGATCCATAATTGTCACTCTTCCTGCCTACCTCCTGAAAAACATGTAGTGTTTCTGGAATTATTGCCTCATAAGCATGGATTTCTTCCAAGAACTTGCCAGAAAATATATCCTGCTGCTTCTTTGTCTTCCTACTCATTTTTTTTCTTTTTTTTCTTCCCTCAATTGCCAGAGGGCACATGTGCGTGTGTGCGTTTGTGTGTGTGTGTGTGTGTGTGAGAGAGAGAGAGATAGGGAAGGAGAGAAAGCACCCCCTCAATGGGGCGTGGTCTTGCCGCAATCCTTTTCCTCCATGTCTCCATCTCTGTGAGGATTTTAGGAATGCACGAACATGGCCTGCCATGCTTTTCAAGTGGCTGGGCTGGGGCTGAAACCAGAGTCGGCATATGGGGTCTGGCTCCCTCTGCACAGCCCTTCAGCACTGCACTATGGAGTTGACCCAAACTTTCTACCAATTTTTAATGAAATCAAGTTGAATTACGAGGTCAGATTCACCATTGGAGTTCTCATGCTTTTAAGGTTTGTTATTACAAAGCATGAACAATAATAAACAGTAATAAGCCTTTGTTAAAGGCTCCTTTTTCTTTTATTGATAGGGGAAAATGGTGCATGACATTGTAACATGTAATTCTCTTGTCCTAACATAATAAAACCCAAGTGTTAGGTTTATGTGTACCGAATCAATTGTTCCTCGTAAAGATAAGATACCATCGAGAACCGCTGATTCGTGCTGATACTGGGTGGTCCAAAAAAGATCAAGTATTGAATCAGTTCTACATTTTTGGAGGAGCATTAGAAAAATAAATATAGAAGCAGGCCAGTCATTCTGCACTGCAGAAAAGACATATTCTGTTAAATTTTCTGCCAGTTAGGCTTTTAGAGTCTGCTCATGCAATGGTCTGAATGAGTAGATGGATGACTAGAAAGATAGATGTGCTTGAAAGTAGATACGTAGGGGACCAGTAGTTAATCAAATGGCTACGTCGCTGGACTCCCATGTAGTAAACCATGGTTCAAGTCCTGGACCCGGTGGCTTAAACTCACACCGGGTACATGTGCGTGCGTGCCCAAGATCCTGAGAGGAGAATGGAGGAGAAGGGATTGCGGCGTGACCATTCCCCCTGGGGGGTGATTTCTCGCTTTCTGTCTCTATGTCTCTGTCTGTCTTTCTGGCGAGCGCACGTGCCCTATAGCAAAAACCTCTCCAAAAAAAGAAAAGAAAAGAAAAGAAAAGAAAAGAAAAGAGAAGAGAAGAAAAGAAAAGAAGATACCTAGGACTCAGATTTGGCTCATATTTTGAGAGCCTGAGAATCAATTAAAAAATAGTTTAATAAGACGTATTCATTTAAAAATTCATTCCATAAACATTTGTTCTTCCTTAGCAAGATCCATAGCAATGTTAATGATGATGATGATACATTTTAAATGTTTCTGAGGCTTTCCGTGGTTCTGTGACAACATCCTTGTAGACTCTAATATGTGTCGATTTCTGTTCCATGCTCATTAATCAGTGCTTCGAGTTCTCACTCCTGATAAATGCCAATGATTTTCACATAGACTGCTTTATTAAGAAGAGAAGTACATGGTAGACCAGCATAATGCAAAGTTATATTACTGTTTCCTGTTTCATTACAGCAAATTCTTCGTCATTCTAGAGAAAACTCAACAAAAGTGATATTTCTCATTACTGATGGATATTCCAATGGGGGCGATCCTAGACCAATTGCAGCTTCTCTACGAGATTTCGGAGTGGAGATCTTCACTTTTGGCATATGGCAAGGAAACATTCGAGAACTGAACGACATGGCATCCACCCCCAAGGAGGAACATTGTTACCTGCTCCATAGTTTTGAAGAATTTGAGGCTTTAGCTCGCCGGGCATTGCATGAAGGTAATGGAAACCCAATGGCATAACAAGTACTCTTAAATGAGATTTTCTTCATGCTTGCTGCCTGAAACCCACTGAAGGCTAATATCAAATCCTCAAAAAGTGTTTTCTGAGTGTGATGCCTGTGTGTCTTTTGCATCATGATATGTGCTGAACTTCATAGAGATAACATTCTGACCTTGCAACATGAGGGGTTTTTTTAACAGCTGTGATATATTTTCACTAAAATGTATATATGTTCCCGCCCAGAACTATAAGAATCAATGGAATGAATTTAGGTGTGTTTTGAGGCCACACACAGAGCAGAAAGGCTTGTCTTAGATCTCATTTACAGTTATCTGAGAATGAAGTAAACATTCAGAGACATGCACCGTGACTTGCAGCAGAATGTTTCCAGATATACACACAAAGATATAGGGACAATAAACACTTAACACATACTTCTTGACTGGACAATTTGAAGATAAATATGCATATGTATAAGATTCAGAGAATTGGGACCAGCAGTTTGCGTAATGGCTATGTCACTGGACTCCCATGTAGTCAACCATGGTTTGAGTCCCAGATTCGGTGGCTTAAACTCACTCGGGCATGTGTGCATGCATGCCCAAGAAGAGAATGGAGGAGAGGGGATTGCAGTGTGGCTATCCCCCTTGGGGGGTGATTTCTCACATTCTGTCTCTCTGTCTCTCTCTGTCTTTCTGGTGAGCATGCATGCCTTATAGCAAAAATCTCTCAAAAAAAAAAAAAAAAGATTCAGAGAATTAACCCTAAATGGAAAGAGCATCAGCAAATACCTTTATTAGAGGTCTTCGTTCACTGTTCATAAAAGGAAGTTCAGTAGTATGACTTAAGTTAGATGAATTTCCGCATCCTGTCATAATATGAGCATGTGTTTTGGTGACCCAGGAGAAGAAACGCAGACTGGAAGGCGATCACAGAAAATCTAGCATAAGACCAAACTGATGTGGCAAATGAGGCTTGATCTTTCCAGGTGTCCATAGGAAAACTTCAGTTTGAGGGAAAATTATGGCAACATGAGGCCAAGAGCAATTAGTGCTGGTCATAAGTGGGTTAGGTCTACTGTAGTTCTAAGAAGAGCATTTAGACACTGATACAACCTACACCTACGGATACAGCAGCAGGTGTCTGTCTGAGGAAGGATACTGCCAAAAGTGATTGGATTTTGGGATCTTAGTGAAATGGCAAGGACTTAGAGCAAGAGTTTAGCAGCCAAAAGTGAGTTTAGGGAGTTAAGCAGTTTGAATTTAAGTTCTGGGCTTACAACTTAAGTCTAGTTTTTAAGAGCTAAACCTAGAAAGTCCAGAATGCCTGGAATTGAGTTCCAATTTTGTTACCTATTAGCTAAATGATTTTGTTTTGTTTAATTTTTCAGAGGGGGCATGCTCACTAGAGAGATACAGAGAGAGAGGGAGAAAGCACCCTCCCGCCCCCATGGGGAACAGTCATGCTGCAATCCTTTCTCCTCCAGTTCTTCCTCCTTTCAGGATTTCAGGCACACATGCATGTGCTCCAGGTATGTTTTTTTTTTCCAAGCCACCAGGTCCAGGATTTGAACTATGCCATCACCCATTTGGAATGCATCTCCTTTAACCACCAGACTATGGGCTGGCCCCTATCTGAAAGGTTTTTGAAAAATGCATGATTTTCCTGGAGAAAAGGAGAAACAAAGATAGTCATAGCTACTGAACATCTACTATACACTAGACACTCCTTCAGTTTCTTGGTAATAGAATAATGAATGAGAATAGTACCTACTTCATACGATTGTTGCGAGGATTAAAGGGGCTAACACATATTAGGAAGGTGATTGGGAGGCCAGCAGGTGACATAGTGGTTAAGGCGCTAGACTCCCACATGACCAACCATAGTTCAAATCCTAGACCCAGCAGCTTGAATCTCAGGCTAGGCATGTATACATGTGTTCCCAAAATCCCAAAAGGAGAATGGAGGAGAATAAGAATGGGGTGTGGCCATCCCTGTGTGGGGTGACTTCTCACTTTCTGTCTCTCTGGGGAGTCCTACAGCAAAAATAAGTGTCCTGTAGCAAAAAAAAAAAAAAAAAAACAACAACAAAAAACCAAAAATAACTCTCTCAAAAATAAACAAAAAGTATTTAGAAAAGTGATTAGAGGGACCAGCAGACAGTTTAATGGTTACATCACTGGACTCCTGCGGTTTGAGTTCCAGATCCAGCAGCTTAACATCACACTGGGCATGTGTGCATGATTGTCCAAAATCTCAATAGGAGAATGAAGGAGAAGGGATTGCAGCATGGTCATCTATCCTGGAGGGGAGGGGGTGGGGTGGTGATTTCTTGCTTTCTGTCTCTCTGTCTCTCTCTATTTCTCTGATGGGCAAACATGCCCTCCTAGCAAAAATCTCTCTTAAAAAAAAAAAAGGAAAAGTGATTAGAAAAATTATTTATGGCTTATGGGACCAGCAGGTGGTGTGGTAGTTAAAGGTGCTGGACTCCCATGTGGCTGACCACATTCGGTTCCCACACCTGGTGGTTTGCTTCCTCACTTGCCCTCTCTCTCTCTCAGTCCCTCTCTAGCCAAATTAAAATAAATAAATAAATAAAGTTAACGAAAATAATTTTAAAAAAAGAAAAATTATTGATGGCTTATTATACCAAGCCTTCAATAACTGTCTACTCTTACTATTTATTCATTATCATTTATTACTTATTAATATTAATTAATATTATTTATTCTAAAATAGTCTACATATATTTTTTGTTTCGTTGGTTTAGCAGATTTAATAAAATGTTTCAATTTCACCAAGTACAGTATCTAGTGTATGGTAGATGTTTAGGAACTATGACTTTTGGAAGGCACCACACTTATTACAACAAACTAATATCTAGAATGCCTAACACCTGGTTGAGTTTCCAGATTTGGTAGGAAGAAATCCCATTTTTACTAGAAAGACATGATAAGATAGAAGAGAATGAGCTTCATTTCCTTTGCCTCTACAGTCTCTAAAACCACTTCTGATTTGGATGGATCCACTTTTGGTCTCAAGACTGTTTATCTATGTATGCATCCATACACACCTGACATGATTTTCAAACTGCCAGGTCTAGGACTCAAACCATGATCAGCCATGTGGGAGTCTAGCACCTTAACCACTACGCCACCTGCTGGCCTCTGCCATTTTCAATAGATATAGGTTACAAACTGTCTAGTTTGTTGAACTCTCAGAATGCCTCACTGCAGAGCAGGGCTCAAGTAATCAAAATGGTCTGTATTTAGTAACATATGTTAATTTATTTAAAACTGAGAGAGAGGCCCAGCTATAATGGCACAAGTGGTAGGATGTTGCCATGTGAGACTGAAGCCACAAGGAAGACTCTGGTTCAGATCCTGGACTAACCTACAACAGACTGAGCCTCATTACATGCCTGTAATCCGATGTAACCCCTGCACTAAGTGCCTGGAGCAGGGGATTGGAACATGGCAAGACCCTATCAAATAAGTAAAAATTGAGAGATAAAAATAAGTAAAACTTGAGAGATACACCAGATCCTGGTTTTATTATTTTCACTTATGTGGTGGTGTTCTTTCAGTCTTTAGGCAAACAGCTGTGGAAGTGATAGTGTTTATTCTAATGTCAGTAACTCATCATCAACATCCTTGGAAAGCAGTGAGTGTTGTGGTTTTATTTCTAATGTGAACACGGATTTGGAAACCTGGTTCCTGCTGCCTGACCCCGTACAGAGGCGGGGAGCTCTGCTGATTTGGAAGCCAGGGAACGACCTGCAGATCTGACTGCCTTACTTCCTCCTGCATCTGGAGATTCCTTGCTGAAGTACTTAATTTCTCCCTGACCCTGCATGGCCTTGCGAACTGATGATGAGACTCAGACTGAAATAACTTAACTGGCTGATCTAAATTCCCAGAGTCTGGTAGTACAAATAACACACATTCATATTTGGGTGGAAGGAAGGTGCACTTGGGAATTAGACGGATATGAAAAGATATTTTCTCCAGCATGCACTTAAATTGTAATGACTAAGAGAATGTAGTATTTGACTGTTAATCATTTTTTATTGCCCTCTGTCATATGTTATTGTTAGATCTACCTTCTGGGAGTTTTATTCAAGAGGATATGTCACACTGCTCATATCTTTGTGAAGCTGGCAAAGACTGCTGTGACCGAATGGCAAGCTGCAAATGTGGGACACACACAGGCCAATTCGAGTGCATCTGTGAAAAGGGATATTACGGGAAAGGTCTGCAGTATGAATGTACAGGTGAGTCTCCAGTCTGGGTGTAACCGTGTCAGTTGTCTGTTGCTGCGTAACAAATGATCCCCGAACTCAGGGGCTTAACACAGTAAGCATTGATTATTGCTCAGGAGTCTGTGGGTCAGCTGGGCCGCAGCATGGTCTGAGCTGTGCTAACCGATGCATTTGCCATCAGCTGAGTCAGGTCAGGTGCCCCGCTGATTTCTGCTCGATTCTCCTGCCTGTTCAGGAGTCAGCTGACTATTGTCTGTTCTAAAATGGCTTCATCTGAGACAAGGAGGCTGTCCTTTTGGTACCATCTTATACTCTATTGGGCTAGTCTGGGCTTCTTCAGGTGGCGTGTAAAGTTCTAAGAGGAAGAATAAAAGTTTGTAAGGCCTCTTGAAGCATAGGTTCTGAACTGAGAGGAGAGAGAGTGCATGGGGTCTTTTATTGTAACTAATAGAGTAAAATTGCCAATTTTGTCCTTTAAACATCTAAGCCAGAATATACCTTAGTCTCTGTATGAGAGTAAAGCCAGGGGGATTCCAGTCTCCAGGCTTCCTGCTTCCTCTAACTTGTCAGATTGTCAGAAAAAAAATGCAACGGTCACTTGGTGGTCTTTTACCCTTTCACAAAAGGCCATCAAACAGTTCTGCAAGTACCATTTCTTCAAAATGGAATTTATTTCATTTGTAACTTTACTTTCTCTAGTTTTTTTTTTTTCAAGAGTAACTTCATATTTCTACATTTAATTAGAGAGGCAAGACAAACAGTTTAAGATTCTTGTTCCTTACATTATATTTTAGGAAATATCTAATATTTTGAAGTAGTATGTGGTTTTTCTGTGATGTTTGATTATTCAGCTTTTTATCTAACAACATTGTTTAAAGTAGTTTATAGTTCTTCCATGACTCCCTGTTTTAGAAAACTATATTCTCATGGAAATTAACACCCACCAGCAAGGTCCAGGAACAATAGGTTTACTTTGTTTGCTCTGTACCATGTGGTCTTTGCTTGCTTGTTTCCTGGGAACATTATTTTATCGTGGCATTTGGTAATAGGCCTGTTCTGATACACACAAACATGGTTTCTCCCTATCGAACATGTTTTCTCTCTTCTTTTCTCTTTCTCTCTCCTCTCTATAAGACATTTCCTCTAGTGCCATTCTTTCACTGTCTTCTATTCTTGTCACCCCTCTTCTCCCTTGCCTTAATTTCTCCTCCCTCCCCTGGCCCTCATCCCAGCTGGCAGACCTAATCCTTCCTGGTCTGACCATCCATGCTCATCCACAGAATCATTCCTCTCTTGGCTCTGCTCCCACCCCACCCAGTAAGATTTCTCACTTAAGCAGAAAAAAAGAGTGGGGGTGGGGAAGATCAGCCCAACTGCCCCTGAGTTGGCAAAGTGCCTCCCCTTGTTTTTCCCTCCTCTTGAATCTTCCCACACTCTCATCAAGGGCCCAGCTTGGCACTCTCCCCAACGTACCCTCCCTTCCTCCTCCCATCCTAGCCCACCAAACAGAGGCAGAAGATCGTATTTTCTTTGCTCAACGCTGTAGTCAGCATGTCTGCTTTCCGTGTGGTCCTAGACCGAACTGCTCCTTGTCAACAAGCCACTGCCTTGGGACTGCCTAACAGCCTCAGTCACTTGGTGCCGCAGTCCCAGTTCCTGCTGCTCCAAGGCCCTGTAATCTTGCATCCCTGGGGATACACTGCAGGAAGAGAGAGGGGCAGTTCACAACCCCAGCACTCCTAATTATCCAAGTAGCTTTGGCTGCTACCAGTACTGCATTCCAGACTGAAAGGCACAGCAGTCCGTGAAATGTATGAGGTTGGGTGGGCCTGTCATCAAGGCATCAGCTGAGGGGATTGAGGTACTTCTGCCCCTGGTTCTAGCCAAGAATGCCAAACTGCAGTGGATCCCTTTATTCATCACAACTCTTAAACTGGTAAGTCTCAACTTAACACTGTCTTACATACAAGGTTAAAATAGATACAGTTGCATTGAGATAAATGTTTATATCAACACAGTGTGGTAGTGCACATGTAGTGTCACCACTTGGGAGGCTGAAGCTGTATGGTTGGCTTGGGTTTGGTTTCCAGGCCAACCCGAACACTCCCGTAATCCCAGCAAATTGGGACACTGAGGCAGGAAAATCACAATATAAGACTTTGTCAGAAACACCTGTCTTTGTCTCTCTCTTCCGTTCCCTCTAACAAAGGGAAAAAAGCTTTAAAATACGTTCATATTATCATCTTCAGTATTTATTTCTAAGAGATTAGGAGAAGTGGTATCGGAAGGCCAGTGTGTACACTGCGTCTTTGAGTAGTTGCAAAAGGCAACCCCCAGTCACTGACCTCTCTGCCATACTAGGAGCTAAGAGAAAATAAATTATGGCCTTGCGATAGCATGAAAGACTCATTATCAAACTATTTTGGAAAGGCAACAAGAAACATTAAAATACTATCTAATACTGAAAACATGAAATTGAGCCCCTTTTAAGTTATTTAGTCAACAGCGTTACTGAGCAGCTTCGCCATGTCGAGCCCTGCACTAGGGACTGGGAAGGGGTCCTGTGGTGGCAGACAGACATGGAATTTACAATCTAACCACGTAAATCAATTTGTAATTGTAAACTGTGATACATGCTATTAAATAAAAATGCCTGTGGTATGAAGAATGGACTCCTGGGGAGACTAAAGTAAGCTGAAATTTGAAGGATGACTAGACCATAGCTCTTCAAGGAGAGGATGTTAACCTCCATTCTGAATAGTTGGAATTCCAAGTATTTATTCTCCTTGGAGAAACAATGCTGCTTAGAAGCAAATCATTCATTTTCAGAGGCAAGAAACCCTAGAGATGATCTGCTTTAAACCCCTCATTCTGCAAGAGGAAATTGAAGCCTCAGGAAAGAGGAGTATTTTACGCAAGATGACATATCTAGTCATTAGAAGAACCTGGGGAGGGACCCAGGGCACTTTTCTCTAAGTCCCATGTTATTTCTAAAATATCACACCACTTTTTTTTTTAATTTTTGAAAATAACTTCTTATAAAAATTACTCTTCAGAGACCATAGACCCTGACATGCACTGACATGTATTTAAAAATACAGAAAGATCTGGCCCAAACTCAGTCTCTCCTAATTGCAAACTATGTGACTTTGGACAACTTATTATTTTTTTTAATTCTCAGTTTGTTTTGTAAAACGAGACTAATAATAGAGTACTAGTAGATAGATAAACGTATCTATGTGTATAGATATTGGAATGTCAGAAAAGTCATGACATATTCTTCTGTGCAAAAAATCCATCATGACTTTTTTGATCACCCAATGTATAGAAGTGATTCATAGATATCTATGTACATAGATGTGTGTGTATACATATGTGTGTACACATAAATGTTGAGTTAACTGAGAGAATATACTTCAAATACTTAGGGTAGTATCTGGTCCATCGACTTTTAATTCATGGGGGCTTACATTAATCATGATTGTGAGATATTATCAACTTTATGAGAAAGCTAATGAATGAACATTAAAATAACTCCTACAAGTGTAAAGTGCTTGAAGATAAGTAACAGCCATATATTTCATAAATCTAACTGTTCTAGATGAGGCTAATGGCTGTATCCTGAGAAACTGTGCTGTGAGAAGAATAAGAAAGATATAGGCATGCCAGTGAATACTGTCAAGAACTCTTGCACCTCTTAAAGGTGGTTGATGCATTTACAAAGGAAATCAAGAGTACTAAATGGGAGAAGGCAATGGGATAACGTGTCATAAAATACTGAAGAAAGTAGAGATTGTTTGTCTTGATCCGGGTAAAATTATATAAGGGGTCTTTAAAAAGTTCATAAAATTGTGTGTTATAAAAAGAATCATGGGGCTCAGCAGTTAGCATAATGGCTATGTCACTGGACTCCCATGTAGTTGACCGTGGTTCGCATCCTGGACCCGGTGGCTTAAAACTCACGCCGGGCACGTGTGTGTACGTGCCCAAGATCCCAAGAGGAGAATGGAGGAGAAGGGATTGCGGCATGGCCATCCCCCCTGGGGGGTAATTTCTCGCTTTCTGTCTCTCTGTCTCTGTCTGTCTGGCGAGCACACGTGCCCTATAGCAAAATCCTCTCAAAAAAAAAAAAAAAAAAAAAGAATTATGCATGATGAGCTAAAATTCTTTGCTATGTAAAGTAAATGTTTGTGGAAAAATGTAAAATAAAAACAAGTTGTAATGGGAAAAAAGAATATTATTATCAATATAATAAAAAAGATATAAAGTTTTTAAAGTGAAAAAAGCAATTTTCCCCCATACTCTCCATATCTCCCCAGAGATGTTTAGAATTGCGATCAATACTGACCCTCTGCCCTCACAGCTTCCACACTCAGTGTTTATCCACTTGCTCATATGCAAACTCAAGCATGTCATCCAAATTACCTTTACTCTGCTATCAGACTTAATGGAGTCTGATTTGGAGATGCAACGAACAATAGATTTCCTGATCTCAAAAAAAATTCCCTAAAGATTCAAAGGACTTTCTTCACAAGATTTTGTAGTATGCATGGATTTCAAACGTCTTTACACCAAAATAAGCTCATACTTAATTCCATTTTACACAAACTTTTCAAAGTTTGTATCCTTGAGCAAATTATATTTGTAAGTTAATTTCATAGAAAAGTAGGATATCAGAGCTGGCCATAGTATTTTTCCCACCATTCATTCAGGAGAGGAGAAAACCGTGTTCACAATTACGTAATAAACTTCTCATGGAGCTGAAGAGTTAAGGTTTCCCAATTCCAAGTCCAGGGTTCTTTCTTTAGAGCAGATTGTTGCAAGGGGTGCTCTTAACACTTAAAAGAAAGCTGACCTCCCTGATGCTACTGTGATCTCCTCTTTGTTTCTCCTTGTTCTGGGTTATTGGCAGTCAGGGTTACCTTGAATCCTCAAACAATGGCATCCTGAAGCCCTGGCAAAGGCAGTGGCTTCCCTCACAATGAATACTACTGTCACAGTAAACCAATACT